TCATGAGTTCTTCCCTGAACAGGGCAGTGTTCTTCAGGTCTGAACATGGGCCAGTTCTATCAGAGAATCCATCATTAGTCAAGTTTCCTTTCCTAAGTGACTAATTCAAGAGCCGAAACCCCTGACTCCTTAATTCAGACAATTCACTGGACCCAAGAGTAATAACTCAATTCAGAGTCCCAAGACTCAGATAACTAGAGACCCACCTGGGAACCTGGATCAGAAGAATTTACAGAACAGGCAAGACCGGCAGGTGGCTCTAACCACTAGGAGAGGTCTGTGAGCCAGGGACCTGCAGGACAGTCCTAGAACCAGGGCATTAGTTCCTCCCAGCAGAGGATCAAACACTGGTACCTGGGGACAGTCTCTCTACAGCTCATAAAATATGTATACTATAGTTTGACTGACATTCCTAGGCAGGATTTCCCCATCTAGAAGTTTTATTTCTATTTGCCATACCTCAGTCACCAAACTAGATGGGTGAAAGAGGTTCCAAACATTTTTCTTTTTCAAAATTACAATTTACTTATGTATGTAGTCTGTGTGGGCTCGAGTGCCATAGCATGCCTGTGGAAGTCAGAGGACAACCTAAGGGAGTTGGCTCCTTCTGTTATGTGTCTTCTGGGGATTCAGTTCTGAAGTCAATGCCCTTACCTGCCGAGCAGCTTGTCAGCTGCCATCTTCTCTTAATGTATGTGGGGTTTTGCCTCCACGTGTGTCTGTGCACTGCATTTACTCAGTGCCTGAGGAAGCATGAAGAAAGTGTAGGATGCCACGAAACTGGAGTTACCACAGGTGCCCTGAAAGAGCAGCCAAAACTCTTAACTACAGAGCCATTTCTCCAACTCTGACAACTTAAGACTTCTAATTCTGTGGTTAACAACAAAACAAAAAGCAAACAAAAACCTTATCTCAGGCTGGAGAGATGGCTCAGCAGTTAAGAGCACCTTCTGCTCTTCCAGAGGTCCTGAGTTCAATTCCCAGCAACCACATGGTGGCTCACAACCATCTGTAATGGGTCTGGTGCCCTCTTCTGGTGTGTCTGAAGAAAGCAATGGTGGTGTACTCATATGCATAAAATAAATAAATAAGTAAGTCTTTAAAAACAAAACAAAACAACAACAACAACAAAAAACCCCAAACCGTATCTCATCTGGTGGCCAAGGTTTGAGAGAAAAGGTAGGTTCAGCCCTATGTTCCAAACCTCCTTTAGTCTCCTCCAGCCCCACCCACTGTACCTTGCATGTCTCTAAACCAGCTGTCTGTACATACCTGCTGAATAAATGAGTCCATGAAATTTGAGATTAGCCTTCCTGGACATCCTATGCTAGTCCTAACCCAAATGCCCATTACCCTCAGCTCCAGAGGCAGAGCACAGCCACATCTGAGGCAGACATCACTGTCTTCTTTTTGAAAGTATCTTTATTTATGGCCAATATTCAAAACAAGAAAGAATGCCACTTCTTGAATTACAATTAGCTCCAAGGAGGAATAATCACACTGAGGCCTGAAAAGCTCCCACTTCTGTGGTCCTCCTTCCCTTTAACCCCTGCTATTTTAGGATGTGAAGGCCTGCTTTGTTATTAGTTAGAAACTCTTGCTGCTTCCTCTGCTAGAAGGGTTACACCCAGGCTACCTCCAAGAGCAGTGGTTCTCTCAACCTTCCTAATGCTGTGATCTTTTAATGTAGTACCTCATGTTGTAGTGTCCACCCCCCAATCATAAAATTATTTTTGTTGCTACTTAATAACTAATTTTGCTACTGTTATATATCAAAATGTAAATATCTGTGTTTTCCAATGGTCTTCCATGACACCTGTAAAAGGATTCCTGACACCCAGAAAGTCATGACCCATAGATTCAGAACCACTGTCTTAGGCAGATACAGATGACAAGTGAGAATCAGCCAAGAAGCAACAAATACACAAAGGACACTGTGTCCTTTCCCATTCCCCCAACTCTTCCCATCACTGAACCATAACAACTACTTATCAAGCAGTATAGAACTCTTCTCAAACACCACCCAAACAACCTTGCCACCTTACTACCTATGTCCACTGAGTTTCTTCTAAATCCCAGGGACAGCACACAATTGGATCTGAGTTTAGACTAAATTAACATTTATTGATTATGTGGCTTCTCAGGCACATTCTGAGGTTTAGGTGAACTGGACACCTTGTGGTTAAGAACTAACAAGCAGCTGGGTGGCGGCGGCTGTGTCTTCAATCCCAGCACTCAGGAGGCAGAGGCAGGCAGATCTCTGAGGTGGAAGCCACCTGGTCAATAGAGTAAGTTCCAATAACAGCCAGAGCTACACAGAGAATCTCAAAACAAACAAACAAACAAACAAAAAACAAAAGGAGGAAAGACAGAAAGAAAGAGAGAGAGGAATAAATAAATAAATAAATAAATAAATAAAGGAAGGAAGGAAGGAAGGAAGGAAAGAAAACGAACAACTGATAAGCTAGATCACCCAATGGACAGACCTGTAAGGGATTCTCGGCACATATTTTCTGTAAAGAAAATGCACTACAACTACTTTCAAGGGAAGAATAACAGTGTTTTTAGAAACCAACACCTCCTGCCCATCTTTTGGGTTCAAGCAACCAATTCTTCCACCTCACCCTTCAAAATAGCTGAGAATACAAGGGTGCACAGCCAGGTTGTTTTTTTAAGATTTCTTCTGTTATACAGTTTCATGTTCTTTCTTTTGTCTATCATGAAGGAATCAGAATCTATTCAGGACTTAGAGCAGACACAAGTCTTCATCTGGTCTGGGTGCTGTTCTTTGCATAAATGTTAGCACGAGGTTCTGGGACGGGAAATGGCTTGTCATAAAGCTTCAGAGTTACAAAGAGGAAACTTCAGTGTAGTCTGCCATCTCCAAGTCTAGGAAATACTTGTCCCATTATCACCAGAGTTGTCTGATGACTCAAAAAAGAGGCATAAGGTAGGCCCAAGGGGCCGCAGGCTCAGAACTGTGTGGGTGGTAGTTCTAGGAGGCGAGGGAGCTGTAAGGCAGGCTGAGGCCGTAGAGCTGTCACCTCTGTAGTTAGATGCAACCCTGTAGCCCCTCCTACAAGACACACCGCCTCCCAGAAATTGGTTCATTTCTATTTTGTACAGTCAACTTCTAAGTTCTCTCATGGGACAAGAAACCTCACATCCTTACTTCCACCCCCACCTCAGGAAAGACCAAAAACTCTGGAGAACTCCACACATGCTGACCCCTCACTAGAACATCTTTCACTTACAAGGCAGACACCTTAACATAAATGACAAAACTTTTACTGCCTCATTTCCCAAACTTAACATTCTTCCCCTCTGAGTAGAGTTTCTGAAAGTAGAGAATTTCACAGAGCCTGTCTCTTTCCCTTTCAAATGAAGAGGGTGTGTGACAGTCTGGTGTTCACAGCTCTGGGGCCAAGTACAAAAGCCTGTGGACTCAGAGCTCTAACTGTGAGGTCACCAACTGTGCACTTCAGCCCTGTTCTAAAGCATAGAAAACTTCCACGGCACCAGCAGATTCAAACTGGGCAAGCTTGGAACATACAACAGAGCCAAGAGAACAAGGCCAAGGCTGAACAAGCAGACAACTCACTTTAATTATTACCAGCATAATCTGCTGGGACAACCAGGCCTCTGGGACACATTCCATTTTCTCTCTCTCAAAACAATTTTGTTCCCTGAAGTATTCTCTATACATTCCCTCTTTCTTCTGGTCAGCTAACAAGTCTTCTCAAAAGTTCATGTAAAGGTCTTTCCTGGTTCTAAAAACACATCCTATAGAAACCCTCCAAAACCGTTTGGATCTTTAGGGCTGAGAGGCAGAGTGACTTTCAAATAGCCAAGGTTAAAAAAAAAAAATAAGCAACAAGATTTCTAAGCCTAGTTAATAATATGCAAGTTTTACTAGGAATGGAAATATACTGTTATCTGCAGTGTACTTTGGCACGCATAAAATAAAAGACTGATGGACAGGTACACAATAAAGGGCGATATGAAATGCACCTTCTAGGTGGGAGTCTATGGCTGTGCACTGTGAAATTCAACGGTGTATGCAAATTCAACTTTTGTATGCTTTGAATTTTTCCTAGTTAATGTCAAGATAGAAGAGGTCTTTAAGACAGTGAATGACTGAAAATATCTTTCTTATTATGAGCAGAGAGCAAGAAAAGCAGACATGCTCACCTCTTTCTTCCCACCCAACTCTAGTCAGCACCAACAAGAAGGGAAGGACCAGACAGAGCAGTCCTATTTGCCCAGACAATGCCCTGTCTGGAGTACACTATAAAACTGATATAAAAACTACTGAACGCCCTCTCCCCAGAGCCCATGATCCTCACTCCTGATACACAGGTTCTCAGTCCCAAGTGTGCAGGAGAATTTCTGGAGAGCTTACTAAATGTAGATTTTTGGACCTTACCCCATAAATAATCAGATCCTGGGGGGTGGGGAAAGTCCAAGTCTTTCTAATGCAGAAAGAAGATCCTACCCTGCTCACTCCATCTTCCTTAACACCTGTTGAGAGGTCCCTGGAGACCCACCTCCTCCAAGGTCCTGGATGGCTTGGGGCTTCGCCAGCCCCTCGCCTACCTAACGTCCGGCCGGAGCGCCACGTAGAGCCAAGTCCAGACCTGCAAACTGGCGGGGGAAGGAGGGCGAGACGGGCTCCTCCAGGACCGCCAAGGTCACCCGCGGGTCTCTGAGGCTTGCCTCAGGGATCCTCTCGGACCGACCGCCGTTCCTCTACCCTCCATACCCCGAGGAGAAATGGCACACACAGCCTTCCCTTACAGAAATGTAGAAAGGCATGATAACCACCCGAGTGAGCTGGCCCTTCTCTGGCTGATATCCCGTTTGCAGGCCCAGTCGCTCGGGGCCCTGAAATGCTATCCCTCGGAGCCCCGCAGCTGCAGCCACATCGAAATCAAATGCCCTGATTCTGTGTAGCGTTTCAGGGGGAATGGACTCCACCACGCCAACCCACCCCCGTTTACCTCGGAATCCAGGAGCCTGAGGCCGGAGGGACAAAATCCGATAGGGGTTCGGCCCGGAGCTCCAAGGAGCCCCTCTACCAGAGGGCTTGCAGCACACACCGCCCCCGCATGAAGAGGACCCTGGAATTTGTAGTCCTTCGGCGCACCCGCTGCAGTCCCTGAGGCGGAAGCCTACAACTCCCGGCACCCACCGCGCGGAGGAGGTAAGGGCGGGGCTCGGCGGGCCAGGTCACACGGGCCGAGGGTTTCGAAGCCCAGACCTCGCCTCGGAGTGTGAGAGGGGTCCCACCGGAAGTCGTCTGGAAGTCTCAGAGGTCACTCACCGTCGGTTCGGCCCCTCATCGGTCAAGCGCTGCTGCAGGAACGGCTGCCTCAGCCCGTAGCTGTCAAGAGGAAACTGAAAGGCTTTGGAGAAAGGCCCAAGCTCCTGGCCTCGCGGCTTAGGGCGGGGCTTGATGCCTCACGGAACGAGCTTGGGTGACGTCAGTGGAGGCCCTTTGCGGGTGTGAGATGAGCAAATGAAAGCACCCTAGGACTTTCAGCTCAGGGAAAGGCTGGAAAGGAGGAGCATGGCGGCGGTGCTTGCGCTTCCTCAGGCCAGCCGGCCGTGCCCTAGGCTGCCTAGGCAAGCATGAAACTGGGAACCACACCAGCTGTCCCTGCCCTCACACAGCTTCCACTCTGACAGATGATACAAATAAGTCACAAAATGCCCAGGACCTCGAAGGAAAGCAACGGGATGTTCCAACAGAATTATAGTGTTGCCTCTGGGCAGGGAAGGTAGGAAAGGCGATGATGGGGTGAGGTGTGAAGTAAAGAGACTGAGTAGAAGAGACAGGCATTTTGGCCAGCAAGATAAAGGCAGGCTAGATCCAAGTGACCAAGGTCATCAATAAAGTTTGGATTTATTACACGTGGAAACGAAAGCTCTCGTGTGTGTGTGTGTGTGTGTGTGTGTGTGTGTGTGTGTGTGTGTGTGTGTCACTCATGTAGGTCAAAGGCAGCTTTCAGGAGTCAGGTCTTCCAGCATGTGGCTTTTGGTTCTCAAACTCAGGTCTTCAGGCTTGGCAGACAAACACCTATGAGCCATCTCACAGACTCTTCTTCTGTATGTTTAGACAGGATCTTCCTGAGTCCAGGACCGCCTTATATTCATGGGCCTGGTGGCACAAACCTTTAGTTCCAGTACTCTTTTTTTTTTTTTTTTTTTTTTTTTTTTTTTTTTTT